GTCGCGACGTCCTCTCGTGCGAATAACCGATTAGCCGCCGATCCGTATCTCCGCTTTATCGAGTTTCAATTCTACCCGTTCGTTACACGTAACGAGCGATTACCTCTCCCAGCTAACTTCGCAACAACATCATCCCTCATCGATAGCCTGGGTAAATTTGCTCTTTAATTCGCCGATGGCTTTCGCCAAGCGAAGCCTGATAACTCTTCCTAATGCCTGCTGCGTTAATGAACGATGTTAACTCGCAACGTTATCGTGTACCGATGTAACGATGTAACGCGGTTACGTTTATTTGCTATACTTCAGCCAGCGGGATATTTTACTAGCGAGACGTTAAGATAAATTTATCCATTTCCTCCTCTTTCGTATTTATTTTCAGAGTATATTATATATATTATATATATATATATATTTTTTTTTATTTTTGCAATTGCATAACGTTTTAAATAAATCTTACCGTAATTACAGCTGTACAACGATATATGCGGTTTCGCGATACACTTTTAATTGCGCTAGCTTCTTCCGAGTAAGTTTTTTTGTCACAACCTTTTGTCGAGGCTAACTCGTAGCGATTGATGCCGAGAGACCGGTGCCTTTCTTGGAAGTACGAGAAATAATTTCGCTCGCGCACGATTAATCTTAACCATACCTTTGTATTCGAGGGAATTCGCATTTCAGATCTCGCGTGACTCATCGAGATGCCAGGATCGAGCCAGAAAAAAGGATGCATCGATCAATCAAGCTTTAATACCTCGTGATCGAGTGCTACCGGCTCCGGTGGGATCCCAGAATCAGAGGAGATGGGACGCACAAGAACGTGGGATATCGATCGCAGGGAGGATGAACCACGTAGTTAACCTTCGTCGCTACACGATGGTCATTAGGGTAGCTCTCTCTCTCTCTCTCTCTCTCTCTCACCGCGAGTCTTCGTCTTTTTGCGGCGCCGTCCCCTCTCTCCCTCCCCCCCCCCTTCCTCCCGGTGAGTTCGCCTGTACCCCGACGGGAGAGAAAGGGAAAACTGAGAGCACACCCGCTCTCGGATGCTATCGGATCGCTTCGGCCTTGAAAACATCTCGAGGATACGAAGACGATTAGCTCGTCTGCCGACAAACTGTTGCTTCCAATTTTAGCCTAATTTTAACGCGGAATACTACTAGCGAGCCGGCTACATCATCCGTTGCATAAGCGAAAAAAACTTAGCGATTGTGCGCGGCGAAATGCGGCGAATTGCTTCTAATGAAGTTCTGAAAACAGCTTTTTGCCAGTACATCAATTTACATTAGCCAACGCTAATATCCATACAACATACTGTACATTTCGTACTTCTATTTTTCTACTAGTAATTTATTCTTAATTTCGTTATACCAGCTTTACCTTTTTTTTCTCTAACGTCGTAATGAATCAGATGTCGACAAATAAAAATCTATTTTTGAGGACACACGTACGAATATATTTTAGAGAAGACGATAAATAAATCCGAAGAGACCGAGAGCACGAATGTGTCTGTTCGCTCGCCAATAACAGTGATGACAGTTATCAAAAAGAAGCGCAGAGATGCAGAGGCTGTAAGTTTCTCTTTCTCTCGTCCGAAATAAAATATCGCGATCTGAAAAAAAAAAAACGCCGTAATGTAGCCGACGTTCAACGTTCATAAAAATACTCGGGAACGATATTTAGAGAGAGAGAGACTTGGCACCAACTTGATGTAATATATTGTCAAGTCGACGCACGTCCTCTGCTGTCTCCTTTCCCCCCCCCCCTCCTCCCCGTTCTCTCGAACATGATCAGCGACAGTGACAGACGATGTAGGAGGTCATCATCGTCGTCTAGTAGCTTGCCAACCCAAACCCTCCATCGCCCTTTTCCGCTTGGGCTCTTTCGAGAAGAGCTTTAATATCTCAGTCATGCTCCCGGTTCGCGAACTATTAATTATCCCTACCTAGATGCTCGCTGAACTCATCGCGTGGGTCAGATCGCTGGATTAGCTTTAGTGACGCATTGCAAAAAGAGAGAGAGGGAGGACAATTTTTCTATCGGTTAAACTTAGTCACAGAAAATAAAGAAAAATGTGATACATATGACAAAAAAAATTGGACTAAAACGAGCGAAGCTGATATCGCTCGTTATAAAAGTGATGCCGACACATCTAAACTTTATACTAACTGCGTCAAAATTAACGCTAGTATTTTTGCAGACAAATATTTTGAGCTAGTCCTTTTTTTTAAATCCCAAGATATCAACTTCAATTTACGGTACTTGCTTCACGATGACAGTTTCACACTTAAATTATTCGTAATATAAAGTTCGTCGCGGCTAGTTTCAAGCACTCTTAGTTAATACAGGACTTATATACCGTTTCTTTCGATCGATGCGTCGCAGAAACGAAATGAAACGACCAGATTGACAGAAATAGAGTCACGACCGATTCTATCTCAAATTACATCATTACCGATGAAGAGAGCACATGCAAGTTTTATACTTTCAAAAGCAATTTCTTATCCAGTAAACTTCTATTACGATTATAATTGATGAGAAAAAGAACCGTTCGCGAGGAAAATTTATTTCAGTTATTTGTAATGATGATTGTACAAACGTTATTCAAAATACAATAAAATAGAGCGAATTTATGTGCAAGGAAATTTATATACATATACAGAAAAATTTGCGATTCAACGTCGCACGTTAAGCGTCGAAAGGTGCGTTTTATTTATATAATACGTATAGGATTTTAATATTCTCACTTTCACCTGTCCACGCTTAAAGTTAAACGGCCCGTTCATTATACAGAAATACGGGGAACGCGGCATAATAGAAATCGTCGGGCGACACCGAAAGTTTCGGCGGGCGGCCTTCGGTGAGGTCAAGCGAGGCACGGCGCGCACGGCCGGCAGGGTCATCGACACGTGCCGATCAGCGACAGCGTCGGTGTTGGTAAGCGTTTCCACCGGTTTATATTTATAACGAGCCGAAGAGCGACGGTTTCGGGTCACCGCCTCGTTGTCGGCGTTGCCGCGCGAATGATGACTCGATTACTCGGGGCCGAGCCTCGTTTCTATCGCGATAATCCGGCGGAAGTCGGAGGAACGGCTCGCAGCTGGCGCCCGGAAACGCACGTAGATACACGCCGTGCGCGCGCGCGCGCACGCGCGTGCAACGCTTGGCCGTGGATACGCACGCTCGAGCCTGTCCCGTCCACCTCTTTTCTTTTTCCTCTTTCTTCTTTTTTTCTTTTTTTTTTTCCTTTCTTTCAGGCGCATCCGCCTGTCTACCCTCCCGGCACACGGAGGAGAAACGAGAATGGCGAGTATACGCTTGACGTAGTCACGCGAGAGCAGTCGGACAAAGAAAGTCCGACGGCTAGAACCGTCGGACGGCGAGAAAGCGCCGAATGCAGCTGCCACAACGGTCGGGCATTCACTTCCCCGATGCCGGTCGACAGTCTCGTTTCCTTCAAGAATCCACCGGCCGGCTGGCGGCTTTCATCGCGAGGACACGCGAGCGGGTAAATTACGCGCGGACGGAATGCCGGTTTCTCGAGAGATTCGAGGAATTCGGAACAAAAGGCAAAATCCTATTTCGAAGCGTGCGTGGCGACTCGCGTTATTATTTGTGATATTGGCACGTTTCAGATCATTTCTGTGTCGAGGTTATCGACGAGGTAACTGATCGAGACAAAAAAAAAAAACCAAAAAACAAAAAGAGATACGATAAACGTCACGGAATGCGGCGCGCAATTCCACGTTAACGTGGAAAGCGAATCTAAAATTCAGATTATTGACATTACGTAGTCATGACATCGTCACGCGGTTGTCTAATGCATCATTATGCACGTATTCGAAGTCGCCTGTGCATGCGATATTAATAGCGTGCGTAGTCGAGCGGAAAAGTAGCCGCGACGAATAAACTTCTTATCGTCGTTGCATATCACAACCATCAATTGACCGAGCTGATTATAGGCGACGTAATGTAAAGTCAAACCTATCGGGGTGCCGTTTATCCAGACGCGTATCTACTTTCGAGCTACGTAAACTCGCGAATACGTGTGAACACACCTGCAATTCCCAGGCATTTTATATCGCTTAATACTTTCATATCTTGAAATGCATTGAGAGAAGCTTGTTTCTTTGAAGTCGCGTATCCATCATCGAGTCATCGAAATTTAGGGAGGATTAATATCAAAATCTATTAACTTTTTTATATTGCACTTTTAATATATTAAATTATTTTATGTTTTTCTTACTAATGACTAATGACATATTTCTTATAAAATACCAACTTTTTTTTAATTTTAAACATTTTTATGATTTAAAAAGGTAGAAAAAAATGATTGTTGATTAAACGGGTTTCATTTTGGGAGAACTTTTTCAACACGGAAACGTGATACGCGGGAAGGCTCGGTTCTATTGAAAATAGAAAAGGTCGGGACTCACCGCAACATCCTGTCGTGGCGGTCTCTCTCGAGCAGCTCCTCCGGACTGGGTGGTTGCGGGCCCAAGAGAGCGTGCGAGAGGGGCGGGTAGGTCCTAGATGGTCTCCAGAGCATCTCAGCGGGATGGTGACTCGGAGGCGCCGGGCTATGATAACCGACCGGCGGCGCCGTGGTCGCAGCGCTCGCGCCAGCATTGGGCGCGCCCTGGGACGGATGCGCCATCAGTAGAGACGTGTGCTGCACGCTCTGCACGTGCCAGACCCTGGCCGGAGTAGCGGCGGCAGCGGCGGCGGCGGCGGCGGCCACCACCGCCGACGGTGTCGAGGACGAGGTCGTCTCCTCGACGCTGAGCGCCGAGCTCCTGCTGCCGCTTCTCTCGTCGCCAGAACCGGCGCTCTTCAGCGAGCTTACCCCGCTGTCGGAACCGCTGTCGCCGTAAGTACCGACGACGCCGGCGGCACCGCTGCCGCTACCTCCCGACGACCGTATCCCGCCGACCGCCGTGGGCACACCAGCGAGTACGCTCGCTCCAGGTATACCGGCCCCGGCCTCCACTTCCATGAGGCCGGCCTCATCGCCGCCCCTCGATGTGTGAGACTGCTGTTGCACCTCGAGGAGGCTCGACGGGGTCAGGCGAGAGGTGGGATGATGGTGGTGCGATTGATGTGGGCTGCTCGCTAGCTGATAATGATGATGTTGCGACGGCGGCTGTTGTTGCTGCTGTTGGTGGTGATGGTGGATCACCGGACTGTTGGCGGAGTAACGTTGCTGGTGGTGTTGTTGATGGTGGTGATGAAACTGTTGTTGCTGATGATGCGGCTGATGGTAGGGTTGCAGATGGTGATGATGATGGTGACCGGCGATCGGCGGTGGCGGCTTGTTCAGCCTCTCGGCAAGGATAATCGGGCTTTCGTTGTGCCGACTACGTTCCTGCTCCCGCTGCTGTTCCAGGAGCAGGCTGTTCTGCCTGCCGGGGCCGCCGCCGCCGCTGCTACTAAACGGACTCAGCCTCTCCAGCACGGAGCCTGAGTCCTGACTACTCGACTCCAGCAGCTCGACGACCGATTCGACGCTGGCCGCCCTCACGCCGCCGACGCTACCCACGCTATCCTCCGTGCCTAACTCGGTGGTAGTCAGTTCTGTGCGTCGTGATCGCTGCGAGCCCAC